AATGTTTCATCAAGGAAAATGTAACAGTTTACAAAGACATTCCTTCAGTATATATAGATGTGTTAAATCCCTTTCTACAAGACAGAGGACTCAATATGAATGTTTAAATTCTTTAGATACAAATAAAAGTGAATATTTGAAAATAATTTCTTCTCAAGATAATAAAGTACAACCAATTTATAGAGACAGAGAATTCAAATGCTGTTTGTGCAATGTAAATACACTCAGATTTCAACCCAGAAGAATAACACAGAAAATGTTTGGAGGATTATACATGCAACCACTCCAGAATAAGCTGACTGATATAAGGTATCGAGAATACTCATCCTCATCAAGCACAGTGGGTGAAAGCCTGAAACACTGGACTGCTAAACTGGAAGATTCAGGTGTCCCAGAGAGCAGGCTTTCAGCAGAACATATTACTGCCCATGTAATGGGGATGCCAAGGGTGAGCCATTTTTGTCTTTGAGTTTGGATGTATGCATATCTCTGTGTTTGTGTGTCTGTATGTGGGTGGGTGTGTGTGTATGTGCTTTTTTTTCCCGTTTAGTGTTTTCTGTTAAGGATGATGGAACATGGTATATTATGTGCTTATTACAGTTAACAGTGTCTCCTTTCTAACTATGAACTAATTTTGTTATCTTGCAGAGAAAGCTACTTGAAAATTTAAGAACATCAGTATCTGAGGACCTATACAGTGAATTAGATCGATTGATGACATGCAGACTTGCAAGGTGCGTCATTAAACTCTTTGATTGAGTTTTGATTGATTGATTGATTCTTGCCAAAGCCCGTCATCGGGCCGTAGGCCTCCTTTCATGAGCATGCATGGGAGCTTGTTCCAGTCCTCCTTGCCAGTTGATGATATTCGACACCCATTCGATTCTTCTCCGACCCCTTCGGTTTCTCCTTCAGTGGTCGCCAGCACCAAACTTTCTCCCCTCCGCTTCCAGTGACCATACTTCCTGATCTTTCTCCTCTTGATCTCTTGCAGCATGCCTTGCTCTTCTCTCATGCCCACTTGCTCTCTCACCCACTCGTTGGTTCTTCTTTCTGTCCACCTCACTCTTATCACACGTCTCCAGAGCCACATCTCGAAAGCATCAAGCATCCTTTCTTCTTGTTTGCACACAGTCCAAGTCTCGCAGGCATATAGAGCCACGCTCCACACAAGGGCTTTTGCCATTTTCACTTTGAACTTTGAATATTCTTTGTTGGATATTTTATTTTGAAATGCCCAAGCTAAGAATGATTAAAGTTGATTAAATAATTTTTGACAAAGGAACACAAAAGACATTGTTACTTTAATATGATTTCAATATATTTGTTATTGCTATCAAGTGCACCTCCAAGTTCTCTGGATTTTATGAAATGAGTATAGTTCAAACTGCAGATCTCTTTAGATAGATGAAACAACATGGTGATTTCTTTGTGCTTGTTATATATTAAAGAATATTGCTTTTTGTAAATGTGATATTAAAGGGGCATAGTATCCTATTTCCACAGAAGGCTTAATTAAGAAAAATAGAAGGAGTGTAACCTAAATTTAGGTTTTCTTTGCAGAATGCCAGTTCAGTATATAGTTGGTGAATGGGATTTTCACAATATAACCTTGAAGATGAGACCTCCAGTGTTCATCCCCAGACCAGAAACTGAAAGTCTAGTTGAGAAAGCACTAGAGCTCCTGCAGGGTATATCAACTCCAAAAGTTTTAGAAATTGGCTGTGGTTCAGGTGCAATCAGTCTTTCTCTTCTGAAGTGTATGAACGAAGTAAGTGAGATTATTTTGATGTGTAATGTATTTGAATGTATATAGATTACTATTTCCCATGGCATGCATCAATATATTTAATCAGAACAAAGTAAATTCTGTATATTTTTGCAGTTTAACTGGCATAACATATGATAAAATATATACTGTATTGCTAAATAACATTATCAAATAATGAGAAAGTAATTACCGTTATTTAATTATTTATTTTTCATTCACAAAATATGAATTATTCAGATGTTTTTTACTCTTTAGTTGACAATAGAATTATCATTTAGATATCGCATTGCTTTTTCAGAAGACATTAAGGACATTACCAAATGTTTCAGCTTCAGTGTGTGGCAGTGGACCAGAGTAAGCATGCTGTTTCACTCACAAAAGAGAATGCTCAGCAGCTAAAATTAGATGACAGAATAGTAGTTTTGGAAGGCAAAGTAACCCAGGAAAAATTCCCAGCTCTACCTTATGAAAAATTTGATTTGGTAGTATCTAACCCTCCCTATGTTCTTCGGAAGGATTTGATGGAGGTTGGGCCCGAAATTATGATGTAAGTTTTTCACTAATCTTTTATAGAATAGTTTTTTTTTTCACATACTTGTCTAATGTATAAACATCTGAAATATGGTAAATGGTTCTGAGATTATGACTGAGATTAGTTTTGATAAAGAATAATTCATCATTGCTACCGAGTGAAAAGTTGTGCTTAGATGTGATTTATATAAAATTTGT